GAAGGGTTCGCAGAGGGTCGCCGAAGGGGCTGGAGCAAGGGTTCGCAGAGGTTCGAGCCGAAGGGCCAAAGCGTTCGCAGAGGGCTGGTCGCCGAAGGCTCCGAGGGAGGGGTTCGCAGCCCTTCGCGGGGCTTCGCGGGGCTTCGCGGGGCTCTTCTTTGCCTATTAAGAGAGAGAGAAAGAGAGGGGTTCGCCGAAGCTCGCCGAACCCCCCGGCAGTCGGGGCTCGCAGGCCTGCGGTCGAAGGGGGTGTGCCTTCGCAGGGCCTTCGCGGGGTCCTTCCTGGTCAGGGCTTTTCGCAGCTAGCCTGCCAGCCTTTTCCTGCCGTTCTGACTGCTCAGGCCGGACCGAAGCGACGGCGATGCGGCTTCGACGATTCGGCTGCTTCCGAGCGAGTGCCCCTCTCTTGCTTTCCCGTCCTGCAAGTGTTTCTTGGGCATGGCCTGCAGTTAGTTGAAGAAGCCGAGCAAGACATTTGTCATTGCAGCAGAGGACTTTCTGCCAAAGCGCTCCTGCAGACATCAACTCCCAAGAGTAGTCCAATTTAGAACTCAACCCGGCCGTGGATTTGCTTAGCAGCATGCAGTAGAGCCAGTGAGAGGCAACATATCTAAGCACAACAACTTTCTCCCTGCACCTGAGTCTGGAAGGTTCCTTGAATGCAAGTCCCAAAAGTAGCCCCAGCACCTGAGGTTGTAAGGTTCCCTACATTGAAGGCAAGTCCGAAAGTAGTCCGAGCGTTGACTGGCAGTCCGACTCGTAGTCACGTAGTGTCTGAGTCCTCGTCCGAGCACTTACTGCATTGCCTCAGATGGCCTTGGTGGAGGCGGCTCCGAAGAAGAAGGCCGAGAAGAGGTTCAGCACAAAATATGCTGCAGAAGTGTCCGAGGACATGTCTCCTGCTGATCGGCGGAAGAAGCTCGGGAAGATGTACGAGCTCAAACGTCAGGAGAGCCGCGGCCGAGTCAAGTCTCGGTATGGAGACCATGCAGAGGTGGCCGCTGCAAAAACGCCCGAAGAGCGTAGGAAGATCCTGCAGAAGCTGTACAAGAGAGGAAAAAAGTCGGCGGCCGAGAAGAAGAAGGCGAAGAAGAAGAAGAAGGCCGACAAGAAGAAGATAAAGCACCGGGGCAGGCCAGCGGACCAGGACGGCATGGCTCTCTCGTGAGACAGCGAGGACCCTGCGGCCGAGGAGGCGGAAGAGGCGGAGGAAGAGGCCGAAGAGGACCGAGCAGGGATAAGAAATGACAGAGAGTCTTCCATGAGAATCATCAGCTACCTGAGGACTCTAACATAGTCGTACTCACCCTCGGACAGGCGTAGTTCAGACTCTGACCGGCCATTTTAAGACATGTACATCCTGTAGAAGTCTTCGCCGCGATCGGGAAATCAAACCACAGCAGGTTGCCCACATAAATCTTCTGCTGAGTTCTTGACAGCAGGAAGATCCAACCGAGGATGTGCCGGCCCAGCCTATCGCTGCTGCTTCGCCCGAGGAGGCTGCTGTCTCGCCCGAGGAGGAGCTGCGGCTTGCCCGGGATGAGCTGCGGCGGGCCAGGGTGAAGATCACTCAACTGGAGAGGCAGCTGAGGTGGCACGAGACGGTCCGGGACTGGGTGTCGCAGGCTGTGGTCTGGGGGTACACCAACAGAAGATGTGTCGAGACCCTGCCCGAGTGGGTGTGGCTTGAGGGCCGAGACCTGGCCGAGACCTATGCCGAGCACGTCCGAGTGAGGCACCAGGTCGCCGCTGCGAGTCAGGCCAGCGAGGCCGACGAAGCCCCGAGGATGCCGATCAGGCACCGTTTTTTGGGAAAGCATCCGCAAGGGTAGATGCTTCGTCCGAGGGGCAGTCGTCCGAGGTGCAGCAGCAAAAAAGAGTCGCTTCGCACGTGAAGAGGGAACGGTTCAGTACAGGATTGACATGTAACGGCCGTCAGCTAGGACATGTTCGAGACGGTTCTTTCATTTCGCAGGCCCGAGGAGCACTTGTCTAGAGGCCAGGCTTTGCAGTTCTGAGGCTCTAGGCACAGATCCAGTTGCAGCGGTTGCAGGCATGAGACCAGAAATCCATTGGAACTTGCTGCTTGAAAGCAACCTGCACGATTTTCCGAGCGATACTCTGCATTCCAGGAAGCTGTCGCCAGCTCAAAATTAGAAGAGAGGGAGCAGACGAGGATGCGAATGCAAGATTCAATTACTGCACAGGCAGGCAGCCACTATAATAATAATGTTATGCATCAGGTACAGACAGAAGCCGAGGATTCACTGCAATTCAAGCAAGGCCAGCAGCGAGCAAAGGCCAGCAGCTACATTAGACATTTCATACAACATTCAACAATCAGTAAACAAACAATTGTTTAGGAAGCCTCCTCGCGGACAATCCTGCAGTTCTGGGGAATTGCAGGAGATCTGACCTGGAGACCCGGGACCATATCCTCATCTGGGCAAAGGTGCCCGAGCTCTGATCTTCACTTTCGGGCAAAGGTGCCCGAGCTCTGATCTTCACTTTCGGGCAAAGGTGCCCGAGCTCTGATTTGCACTTTCGGGCAAAGCTGCCCGAGCTCTGGTCTGCATTTTCGGGCAAAGGTGCCCGAGCTCTGGTCTGTACTTTCGGGCAAAGGTGCCCGAGCTCTGGTCTGCATCGGGCAAAGGTGCCCCAACTCTGATCTGCACTTTCGGGCAAAACCGCCCGAGCCCTGATCTGCACTTTCGGGCACAACCGCCCGAGACCTGACCTCCCGAGGCCTCCGAGCTCTTGCGTCTGCCCGAGCTCCGCCTGCCCGAGATGCCGCCGAAGAAGGGCAAGAAGGCGGAGGCAGCGGCGGCCAAGAAGGCCCGTCTGGAGGACAAGGAGAAGGTTCAGGTCCGAGAGGCGATCGCCTTGCAGCAGAGGCAGGGCCAGGCTCAGATTCTGAGCGAGCTCATGGGCTACTTCGAGTCCCAGCCGAGCGAAGCCAGCTTTATGCTGGCTAACATCAAGGCCGGGCACATGGACTTCAACAACGAGCCCGAGCCGTCCGAGACCAAGCTGCCGGGCCACATGAACAAGGTGAAGCTGTTGAGCAAGGAGGTCAGTCTGGGCATACTGTCCGAGCTCAACAGCGGCCTGTCCGAGTGGCTGAGCACGACAACGGTGCAGCCGGCGCCCGAGGACGGCGGGAGGCAGAAGTCCTTGTCGAGGCTGGATGTGGCCAGCGTGCTGGGTTACCTCTGTGGGATGGACCCTGCGAGTGCTCTGCCGTGCAAGAGCCTTGGGCGACTGACGAGGAAGCTCAAGGAGCGGTACGAGTTACTCGGCGCCCGAGGGTCCACCTTCCGAGTGTCCGAGCAGAAGACGTTGAAGGACTGGAGCGGTACAAGTTGTGTGAAACTGGGAGTGGAATCCCCCTAATTAATTAATTAATTAATTAATTAATTAATTAATACTTAGCAAGAATAATTAGTATTAGTACGTAACTCAGTCACTGAGACACAGGACTTCTGGGCGGAGCACAGCTACTGGAGCCTCGAGAAGATCGCGGATGGGCAGTTCAACCTCGTCGACAACACCTTGGTCACATCCGCCGCCCGAGCCAAGACCAAGGTCAAGCTTCCGGCCGAGCTCTGTGCAGGAGGTGACCCCGTCTTGGCCGATCCCTTCCTGTGGGCCAAATGCACAATCAAGCGGGGAGTGTGCGTCCGAGCTGTGGGCCAGCTGCTGGAGGAGATGAAGATTCAAGACCGCTTCGCGGTGAGTCGGCCCCTCGTGCTGAAGGAGTGTGACGGCGGCCCCGAGACTCCTACCAAGAAGAAGATCACCACTCCAAACGAGGCGTCCGAGAAAAGCCAGCAGCCGGGTCCCACAGCGAACAAGACGCCCCAGTCTCGGAAGAGAAAGCGGCTTCAAACTTCCGAGTCCCCAGGCTCACCCAAGACGCCTCGGAGGCGGCTGTTCTCGCCCGGAAGCAACGGTGCCGGGCCCGGGCCGAAGGCAAAGTCGCGTCCGAGCACTCCCAAGTCCTCCAACAAGGGCGAGACCGACGAGGCAGATGAGGAGCTCCCCGAACTCGAGGGGAACGAGGGCGAGCCTCCCGAGAACGGCGACGGCACTTTTCAAATGTGATGCGTCCGAGGAGGCATCTGGGTGTTCCAACTTTCTGACAGTGGGGCTGTAGAAGAAAGAGTTCCCTCCCGACGAAGCCGGCCAGACCGGTGGGCCGCTCTGGAGTAGCTTCGTATTTTGGTTCCATAGCCTCCATGCCATCAGTCAGTGACGTTGCGAAGACACGAGCAACACACCCTGGCTGGACAAAAAGTTACAAGGGTTTGGCCTTGCACCTGAATTCAATTCCAGACCTGCACGACCCATGCTGTCCCATCCTTGCGAGGTACCTGCTGCCTGGGCGTTCTTGCCATCGGACAACTTCGATGCCGACTTCAGGCACACGGGGTCAAGAAGTCTTTCCTTTGTTCCGGATTGAATTCTGAGAATCTGCCATGCGAGTTTATTTGGTCCTGGCAGTCCTCTCCTCGCAACGGTAACTGCACATGTCAGGGTAACCTGCTGCCTCTGTACCCCAACTAGTTATTATATACAACTATGTCCACACTTGCTGAACGAGACTAGGCTGTCTTCCTACAAACTCACAGGGGCTTGCTTTGACTATGGGGTCAGAATAAATACAGAATTAACAATAATCATGAATCATCATCTACATCCGTGCTGCCGTTACAGTCTCAAAGTTTCAAAGGGCCACAGCTCTCTGTATGGGGTCGTCGACAACTCTTCAAAACTCTCGCTCTGCACGAAATCCCAGTCACTAATTAATATTATCAGTACTGTACTGTTGTCACGTTATTATGTATCCTTAGTACTTCTTCTTCTTATAATTATTTACTACTATTACTACTATTATTTAGTATTGCCACCCGACAAATGCATTGCAGGTCAATCAATCCCTGCTTGTCCCAATTCCTTTTTTTTTTTGCTTTTTTCGTCCACTACAAGTAAGAATCATCATGACTGCCGAACCGGCTCCAAATGATCCCAATGCACTCGCCGCTTGCAAACAAGAGCCGCACGAGGGCCACCTGAAAATCATTGCCACTTGGAACGACATCACGATTCTGGAGCATCATATGACCAAGGAAACATTGTTGCTGCGTGGCGAGGTCACATTGAAATTCAATGCTGCCGGTTTCGCGTTCGTCCGAGTGGCAGGGGAGAGTACGTGGCTGTCGAAGCTCTTGAAGTATCACCTTTTTAGACGTGCTTCCAGCGAGGGCGACACGTCCGAGGGCTCGTCGGAGACGGAGCCTTTCGTTATTACCCGCACAGAGACAGGAACCCAGTCGCAATGGCTGAAAAGCTTCCTCCTTGGAAGAAGACTGTTGCAGACTGATTTGTCAACCGCACTCCAAACGGAGAAACCAGTCTCCATTCTGCAAGCCCGAGGACCCTGTAGGCATTTCTGGCGGCTTACTTCCTTTATCCGAAAGCCACGACAGACGATTATGGGCAAGCTGCGACGGTTCTGGCTGCCAGCCTTTGTGTCCGAGCTCCAGCTGGAAAGCGGGAGAGGGCACGTGCTCTGGCCGCCTCACTGCAAGGAGACGGGACAAGGCGAAACGGAGGACACGGCTCATGATCTGTTCGTCAGCACGTTGTTTCTCTGCTTTCTGCTGCATATGTTGTACGTCTACTCTGATGAGACCACGACATTGCTCCCCCTGTTCCTTCAGAGGTTGTTGCCGGAGAAGTGGAGGGTTCGGGTCGCGTCCGAGGCAGCTTCTCTGGTCATCCGACACGGCAATGTCACATTGTCCGAGTTGACCGAGAGGACCTGCTACAAAGAGCGGATGCGGGGCTCCAAGAAGACTGTGCCCATGAAGTCCAGGAAGACCCAGCCCGTGCACGAGGTGCTCAAGCAACTCTGGAGGACGAAGGCCCTGCGGTGGCTTCGAGCAGACGTCTTGAAAGGCTTGTCCGGGGCAGTGGATGCTGGTGTTCTGGCCTCCGACTTCGGGGAGGATCCCTGCCAGGACTCCATTTTCGACAGCAGCGACAAGCCAGACATGCGTGATCCTGCCGTCCGAATGGCCAGAGTGCGAGCAGCCCGCGTCGTCCGAGGCCCCGCCGATGCCAAGCTGTCCGCCCGAGCCAAGACCAACCTGAAGGTGCAGAAGGTCCGAGCTCGGTCGATGGTGAAGGCCAGGCAGCGCGTCCGAGAACGGTTCCAGTATTGGATGTCCTGCAGGCGGGTGCTTGGATCGGCGAAGACGTTGCACATTGCCTTCGATGCGTCCCGAGTCGGAGGCAAGAAGAGGTCGTACTATGCGATCCTGGACAGCCACACTGGGTTGGCAGCATGGGGGCCACCGCTGATTCTGAGGGATTCTGGGTACAGGGCTGTCACGTCCGAGCCCACTCCCGAGGAGCAGGGGAGGCTGGACTCCAAGACCCGAGGGTATCTGCTGAGCTTGCGTGCCCGAGACAATGCTCTGTCGTCCGAGGCTGCGGCGCCTGTGGTCGAGAAGAAGCAGCGGTTGCCTTCTTTCGAGCAGGTGGTGGCGCTGGAGCAGACGTTGCAGAGCATGTGTCCGAGTGCAGCAAGCCTGCTGGAGTTCACAGCCCCAGACCCGGAAGGTCGCCTGGAGATGCCCGTGCTGTGTTTCAATGCGGACGCTGGGCCGGACGTAATGAGCTGCTTACAGTTCTTGCAGAACCACGTCCGAGTCCGCATGATCCACTTTTGGGATCCAAGACACCGACTCGCCCGAGAGTTGGAAAATGCTGTGAGCCATGCAAAGCTGAAAGGCGCCCTGTCCCTAGGCGAGCTAGTTATCAACTTTAGTCGGGGCCCGTGGAGCTCGCACAAATGGTTCCGCCGTCTGCAGGAGGAGATGGTAGACTTCGCTGCAACACTGTCTGCTGCACCGCCAGACGTGCGAGAGAGAGGCGGCTTTCTCTTTCAGCATCTCCGGGAGGAGATTGCACTCCAGGCTGGCTTGCATGTCGAGGAAGTCACACCCGAGAAATGCAAGGATCTCTTGCAACACAGCGGCTTCTTGAGGAAGCGTGGGCCCAGCAACATGAGCAGGTGGGATGCATTTGCTGTGGGTTGGTCCGAGAGAAAGTCCGAGCTGGGCCTCCTGAAGCTACTGTGCCTGTCCTATGGCCTCAAAGCCGGCTATCTCCAGCCGGCGACCAATGCCGCCGCCAACCGAGCTACCGAAGAATGGGCCGGCCAGGTCTTGTCCGAGGGCGACGGAGACAACACATTGGGCTCTGATGCCAAGCAGCGCCTGTTCCAGAAGTGCGTCAACAAGCTTCATGTGGTCACCAACATCTTGTTGCAGAAAGACACGTGTGACAAGCTCAACTGTTGGTTTCACTTGAGTTGGCCGATCTCTCAGGAGCTGCATCGCCTCAGGACCACCCTGAAGAGAGGTCGAGATGGTTGTGAACAGCATCTCCTAGAAGAGGCCCGCGGCTCTAGCTTGGAAGTCCTCACGACCATCTTCGAGACTGCAGTGTGTCCCGACGTCCGAGAAGACCTGGCTATTTGGCACGGTGCCCGCCTCGGTGCAGGGATGATCGGCCGAATGACGGTCGAGGACCCTATCGTCAAATTCCAGAACAAGACATGCCAGATGGTGCTGGAAACTGCTTTGGAATTGGCTCACGTCAAGATGCAGTATGCCTCGGTTACCATGTTTTCTTGGCCCTCCCAGCTCGTCCTCCTTGCCTTCGGAACCGAAGAAGAGCAGAACGTTACACTCGTGAATCTGTACCTGTCCGAGCAGGCACACGCCCGAGCCATGGCCAACAGCGAGAAGCTGAAATGGCTCCGGGTGTTTGCAAAGCGATCGCCGATGGGGTCCAGGCTTATGCGGGACGTCGTCGCGAACTTGCATTCGTCCGAGTGGCGCATCACGAAACGTTTGCTGAATTGGCTGCAGCCGCTCTTCCGAGGTTTGGGGGCCACCTGGAACGAGGAAGCGTTTGGCGACGCCCGAGAGTTGGAGGGCAAGGAGAACAAGGGCCACGAGCTGAGCTCCACGGAGGCTTGGGAGTGTTGCTCTTACAGTCGGACGCTCACCTCCTTTGGATTTCGGGAAATCCAAACCGAGCCGACCGAGGCCGAAGGCAACATTCCCGAGTCTCTCTTCCGTCTGGAGAAAAACAAGGTGCCCGAGAAATTGAAAGCAATAACTGCACCAATGAAGTGGACCTCCCTCAGCCAAATTGGTCTTTGTGCTGTGGCCTGCGAGTTGGCCGTCCTGAAGGATGCCATGGATCAGGACCGAGTGGCTCAGCTTAGCGACTCCTGGCGGAGCGGGATGTTAAGAAGAGGCACCGTAGTTGGCCACACCTCTTTTCCCGAGTCCGACAGATATCTATCCATGGGCGCCTGGCCATCGCATTCCGGTGCACTTCTGCTGCCCTTGAAAACCTGCCAGGGCGGCTTCAACTTGGACCTTCCACTCACAAAAGACAAGCTGAAGTTTGTTCAGGTCTTTCGACTCTCCGATTGGTTTGCGTTGCCCACGACCGTTAAGAGCCCTTTGCACCATGCCATTCGAAACGGCGGCACTCCGACAACCGCACCCCTCCTCACGGTGACAGGCGAAGCCCGGAAACCTATCCTTCAGTACTGTGCGGAGCATGCTTTCTTCGACATGGACGAAACACGACTGTCTTTCATTCTCAAGGAAGAGTGTGGCATGGGAGACCTCGATTTTTCCAATGCCGAAACTGCCTTGGGTGAGATGCTTTCCACGGCCGTTCAAAAGACTCTGTCTGTGTCCGAGGACCAGGCAGCAGACATCATGGAAAGGTCCCTGAAGTATCGGCAAGCCGATGATGCAGATTTGAATGAAATCCTGCAGTCGCCCGAGTTTCAGGAGCTCCTGACGGCCGAAACTGACAAGCAAATCAAGGAAGTCTTGTCCGAGTCCAAAACAAAGCATCGCAAGGCCATGTCCGTGTCAGCAAAGATCCGGCAAACCCGGACTGCTGCAGTCAAGAAGGACAAAAAAAAAAAAAGGACGTCAAGCGGAAGCCTGTGAGGTTCGAGTCGAAACAACTTTACTCGGAGGAACACGTCAATGGTTGGTTGCCGCCGCAGCATACCTCAAGACGTGATGAGTTCAACAAATGCTGGCGTGCCGAGGATAGAAACGGAGTGTCCACGTCCCGGTCCTGGGGCGACCAGGGTGACGGCTATGCTCTGCACCGCATGCTGACGGCTGCCTGGGAGAAATACCTATTTCTCCACCCGGCCGAGACTTGCCCTTGGGATTTCAGTTTCTTGAGAGCTTGAACTCAGCATGCCCGAGCAGCAGGAGCAGCCTCGACCGAGCAGCCGGAGCAGCCTCGACCGAGCAGCCGCCACTCAATTCCAGCGGCATCAGTCTGCCCGAGACCATGGAATAGCAGTGACCTGGGAACACACGACAATTTGCGGCCCCAGAGATGCTGCCAAAAAAACAAAAGGAAAAAAATGCGTCGCGGTCAGTTCTCGGTGCCATATATAACTTTCCCCTCAGAAAACGAACTGAAAACTAGGGTCATACCTGTGGAGCTCTCCGGTATGGAAATTCTCCGGTAATTCTTCATCCAATAATGAAATAATAAAGTGTTTACCATTGCAATTCCCGACCTCTCCTGCCACAAGCTCCTCCCTCATGAACTGCTGCGGAGCAAAACCGCAAGACACCCATCTTACACCATACTGAATTAATAATTAATGAAAGACACCATGCTGAATTAATCATGAAAGACATTTTCCCCACCGACAAGGGTCAACATTCGGCCAGCATTCCTTCTTGCTGCAGGCTGCCTTTGCTGCCTCCTTCTCCGCCTTTGTGGTCCGAGCCCAGTTGACATTCAGGTTGATTGGGTCTCACAGGTCTTACCGGGGATCCCTAAATCCCCTAAACTTTGGCCCTAAACCCATAATAATTCCGAGTCTTGAAAACCCTAAGTTCCGATCCTTACTAACAAAACGGTCCTGGATCTAGGGATGTAGGATTCCAAGGCTTAGTCTGCAAATTAGCGGTTTCATTTCAAATGCTGGTTCTGCAGAAGCAGGTCAAAGCAGACCTGAAAAGAACTCTCTCCCAAGTTCGCCTGCAGATTGGTAAGGCCCCAGACCCGAGCCCAAAGCCTGAAGCAGCACTAGCACACCATACTGAATCATGCTTAGATTTCGATTGCTTGCTTAGGATTAATAGGTTTTACGGATTGGGGTTTAGGCTTGGGGTTTCAGGGCTTCTGAGTAGGGTTTAGTCCCAACCCACGGGTAGGCTCGGGGTTTGAGGGCTTCTTAGTAGGGTTTAGTCCCAACCCACGGATCTCCTGCTGCTTCGGAATAAATGTATTGGACGTCGGATTCGGAGACCCTTAAATTAAATGAACCTCACTAACCCGTCTTGCCTCCTTGCAAGGAACTTTGATCCGATGTGCCCTAGCCCTTGGATACACCTGCCTGTAGAAGCCTGAGTGGGGTCCTGAACCCTCAAACACCCTAAACATTGAAAACTTGCAAATTGCTGTCCGAGTGTCCTCAACAACCATCAAACACCCTAAATAATTGAAACCTTGCTTAATTACTGTCCGCGTGTCAAACCGCATCGGAACGACATCACCAAACCCTCAACCCTGAACCCCAAAACAACATGAAGCCTAAGGTGTCAACCCAAATTATAGTCTAGTCCTAAACCCTGAAGCGCAAATTACTAGACGTTGATTCTGATTCGATCTGTATATACCTGTTGCCCGAGAATCACCCTAAGCAGCCAATTGGTCTGATAAGTGGCTTCCTCCCCGGCGGGTTTAACTTTACTTGGACACGTCGTGGCATTGGGACGAACATGGCTTGCCCTTGTGCAGCATGTCCTGGACTCAGCTTCGACACGTGGCTGTCATGCACCTCCACCTCGCCGCTTGCCGGAAGGACTTCTTTCAACCCGAAGTCGCGTCGCGGCACGATCCACTGGCCGAAAGTCCTTTGCAAGGAGTGCCAGTCCGATCGCCTCCCTCGAGAGTCCAGCCAGGTGTTGGCGTCGCTCGAGAGGAAAAAACGGCGGTCGTGGATGAGCCCGGGCAAGGTACTCCGGTGCTTGGGAATCGCATCCGAGTTGGCGCCCTGCCAGTGCCGCCAGTGCCCACGGTCGCACCAACAGACCTTCTCCTCGTCATCGCGGCGGAGACTTGCTGTTGTGCTCTGCCTGCTCTAAATGCGATAACTATAACCAAATATATGAATACCCTGAACCCCAAATTATTATTAAGTCACTGCGGCCGTGGGATCATGGTTCTAGGACCCGAACCCCGTAACTCCTCACATAGGGTCTCCCTACCATTTTAGTCATGTGCTGCTGCTTGCCACGACACTCCCCCATTTGCTATCTGCACTAAGATTAATCAGTTTAAGAACGCCCTTGAAACAGTGATGGTGGTTGTGTAACTTGTCACTTGTACTCGCCGTGTCACCACTCCTCCCCCTAAGCAATAGCAAAGATGCAAATAAATACGGCCGAGTCCTTTGCTTCTGCAGGTGCCCCGAGAGGGCCGCTATGGTCGGGGAGCCAAGCAGGCATCATCCCCTAAACCCTGCACCCTTAAACTATTGGTTTACCGTCAGGCCAAACCAGCCTTCTCCAATATGCTGCTCAATTATAGGACTGTATTTTTCGGGGTGCACAGGTCTCTGAGAGCGGACCTCTGGGACTTAATTCACCCTGGCGTCCATTGGCATTGGTCTACAACGTCCGAGTTTCAGTAGATACGGTTTGCTGGGGCTTTCTTGCTTTTGCTAAGGCTTCTTGTTTTCTGAGTATTGGGGCTTAGGCCTTGACCTCTATTGAAATTATCAATGTAAAACCCCTAACCCTAAATTAGCAGTTTCCTTGTTCTTTACAGAACTGGGAAACTGCATCAGCCTTTTCATTGGGGCACCAACAGGTTCTTTCTGGCTCTGTCCCGCCGTGGCAGGAGATACAGCAGCCAGAAAGGCCTCCAACCCCAGAGCCCAAGCGCCCGAACAAGGTTTCCGGGCCCTCACCAAGCCACACCCCAAAACTGCATCCTGCGTCCTACAATCCCGAAGCCATGAAACCCTCTTGAAGCCAAGCTTGAAGCCGCTTGCGTTGTGGAGAACCTGACGCCTGGCGACACAGCGGCTCGAAGGAGTTCCCTGCCGGTCGAAAGGACCACCAGAAGTACCTGCAGCAAGCAGGCGGGCAGTGGCTACAAGGAGGACGACGGCATCTGCAAAACGGTGGCTGCCTGAAGGCTTGCTGTGTGCTTTCCCACAACACCAGCACGACTCGACAGCCGTTGCCCAATCCAGGCTCTTGCCAGCGAAGTCCATGTGCCGGGCCTCGAGTTCGCGAAGACAAAGCTGGCTTCGCTTGGTCGCGACTCGAAGTAGGCCATAGGTCAGCTCAAAATATGAGCTTGGCACCGTCACTGCTGAAGCTACATCACCTTGGCCCTCTCGCTGCTCATCGTCGAGAAGATGTCCGAGGCCGAGAAGACGTCCGAGCACTAATATAACTACTACTAATACTAGAACTAGTAATAGTTGTATTGTAGTAGTAGTAGTAGTAGTAGTAGTAGTAGTAGTAGTAGTAGTAGTAGTAGTACCAGCAGTAGCAGTAGCAGTAGCAGTAGCCTAGTAGCAGAAGCAGTAGCAGTAGCAGTAGTAGTAGTAGTAGTAGTAGTAGTAGTAGTAGTAGTAGTAGTACTAGTCTAGTAGTCGTAGTAGTAGTAGTAGTAGTAGCACTAGTAGTACTAGTAGTACTGCTAGTAGTAGTAGTAGTAGTAGTAGTAGTAGTAGTAGTAGTAGTAGTAGTAGTAGTAGTAGTAGTAGTAGTAGTAGTAGTAGTAGTAGTAGTAGTAGTAGTAGTAGTAGCTGTCGTAGAAAGTAGTAGTAGTAGTAGTAGTAGTAGTAGTAGTAGTAGTAGTAGTAGTAGTAGTGGTATTAGGGCTTCATGACGGCTCTTCTCGCACAATGTTGATGTCCATCAGTCCTTGTCGGCCGATAGGCTCTCGAAGCCCGGTGGCCGGTAAACCCTAAACCCTGTAGAATCCTGAGCCGTAAACCCGATAGAACCCTATAGGACCACAGTAAATCCTAAAACCCTATACCCTAACCCCCTGCACCCTAAACCTCATAGAACCCTAAACCTCCTAGCCCTACACAACCCTAAACCGCCGAACCCCTAACCTCTAAACCGCCTCAACCCCCTGAACCCTTAACCCTGTACAGCCCACCTTGTTTGTGAGGACCGGAGAAGAAGGGTGACTACTACTACTACAACAACAACAACTACTACTACTACTACTACTACTACTAGTACTATTACACTACTACTACGACGACTACTACTACTACCACTACTACCTCGTAGGTAAAATAGAAAGCTTTCTCTGTGACAATCGGCCCGTTGCCTGTGGATAGGACCTGGGGAACGATTTAGGGTTTAGGGTTTAAGGGTAGAGCTAAACTTTAAAGTTGAAAGGGTAGTCGGCTAAGTAAACCCGAAACCCTAGCACACCTCAGCCCCAATGCTTTAAAGCCTTACAACCCTCGAGCCCTAACGCCTAAACTCTGGCCACGAAGGCCAAAGCACTACTGCGGCCCACTGGCACTATCCAAGTTCGAGGCATGTGGTCGGCGTGCTTACTTCATCCTAAGTATTGGATTTCAGGGTGCAAAAGTGCTTTAATAATTAGGGTTTGCGAGACTCCCTTGCAGCTTTCGGGTTTGTGATTCGGGTTTTCGGGTTTACGATAATACTTTCCTTTCATGGCCATGATAGGCAATGACATACTTAATTTGCCTTCATCAGCAAACCCCTTTGAATGGTTCATTTCGAAGTGAAGGACGTAATGAATTTATGAGTAGGCTGTCAGGTACCATAACCATTCCAAGTGCACATTGCCCAGCCTCAATAAATTCCTTGCAACTTGAATCCTCTATGGTCCCACGGACTATTGATGTTTGCTGCGGTTGTGGGTTTAAACCGACCCATCGGCAATAGAACTCCATTACCCCACCAGGTTGAGGTCCTGAGAGTCGAGGTTTAATGGCTTCACAGTTTCTGGCGGTACCTTCTCAATCAAATGTGGACAGTGCACACAGAGTTTCGGTTTCGGGTTCGGCCTTTCCGGCTTCCTGTGCAACTCTCACCCTACAGCTCAACTTCAAGACTGCCAGACTCATCAGCTTGAACAGTAAGTAATCCACAACAAATGTCAGGCCGGAAAACCTCTACTGCTACTACGACTATTACCACTACCACTGCATTTGTTGCTACTAGTAGTGCTAGTACTAGTACTTCCACTCGCAGCACTTCTTCTCCTACCACCGCGACCACGACCACAATTACTACAACTGCAACTACTACTGCTACTGCTGCTGCTAC